ATATCTTTTTAAATAATGCACCAGGCCCCTGCTTGGAGGAGCTGCAAAGTGGACTCAAGAAAGTGGGAGTTTACCAGGTAGGTTTACATGGTTATTGAGTAATTTCTGTGGAATGTGTTAATAAAGTTGACAATAGAGTGTGAAGCAGCCAATCGGAATGCATGCAATTACTGCTTGTAAAGATTTATGTGAAAGTCTATCTATGAAGTAAAATCAATGTTATTTCTGCTTGTCATTTTAGTGTTTGTTTCATGCCTAATAGTCTTTATCCAACAACTAAACTAGAACCTTTACATCCATGTATTATTGCATTGATCCATTTATTATTGCATTGATCTTATTATATGGATTTAATGACTGTGCTCTATCAACTATTTTAGCTTTTAATCAAATATTAAAAAAATAACATGTTTTGGTTCTTTAGGTAGCTAACAAGTTGCCTGTTTTTCTTCACCTTCTTWAAYCTGGACCTCCAAGTCCCCTAACAGTTAGAGGTATAACAAGCTTACTGCAGCCACTCTTCAGTGAAGTAGGATCGAATAAGAGAAATTATGAAAATGCTGTGTACAGTCAATTCATAAAATATCTGAGGGAAACTGCAAGTAAGTAAAGAAAGAGAGAGAGAAATAAAGAATGAACAGTACTGTGGATTTCACAGAGTGGCTCTTCTTCCACTGGATTCCAATTGGAATTTAGAATTTGATTTTTATGGAGGGAGGAAAACTGGAGAACTCAGAAAACCCTCAAAGCACTGGAGAATGTACAGTAATAATCTTAATATGAGAACAATTTCATTTTTCCTTTCCTGCGCTAAATATTAATTTTTATCTTTTTTCTTCACAGGTGGACGTAGAAATGGTGTCACCCTTGCACACATCCTTCAGTTTACAACAGGTGCTGATCAAGAGCCAGTTTTGGGTTTTGTGATCCACCCCAGTGTAACATTTGTTGAGGCTACAAGTTCTTTTATACCTTCTGCAAATACACGTATAGCTTGTTTGAAGCTCCCACACCCATCACATGATGTTCCCTTACCACCTACAGAGCAGTTGTTCTATCTATATGATCTTGCCTTTTCAAATGCATACTTTGGTAATGTGTAAATGAATCATYTTTATATTTGCACTTTTGCACTGATCTCTTATTTATGCTGAAAATGTTCATTTTTGGACAATTTGGTTGGATTTCAAAGTAACAGTGACTAGGGATATAAAGTCTCATGAAGGCAGTGACATCATGGCWGTTTCAGATACAGTATATATGTTTGAGATGCTTTTGAATTTYATTGAYTGACATTAAATTTATGTCCATYGCAAAATGCTACACCATGAGAGATATTAATTTTGTCACTGGACATAAATTTATATCACAATGAAAAAGTGCAAATATAACTTTAACTTGTTAATTTGTTACAGTTCAATTGACAGTTTGTTAGCATTTTAGATTTTCATCTTTATGGAGTAGT